CCTGTCATATGTACAAAGCATTGAAATCAATTTCATGTTTTCACCTTACTAAGAATGTAGTAAAGAAAAGGTTTGTAATCGCGGAAATCGGCAAATGTTTCATAAAAAAAACTTATTGTCGGGCCGTGATAACAAAACTATTCATAAATTATTTTTCGGGACAAAATTTAGAATGCCTCGTGCACACATATGCTTGCGTGTAGGCTTAGCCATGTGCATCTTGGGCATAATATTATTAAATTAACAAGAAAGGTTGTATTATTTTAAAACTATTAAATTTGTTACTTATGGCTATGTCGTAACAATCACACGACGTTTCAAGGAAATTATGACGCGACCAATTCGCCCAATATATAAAGCATTAAATACTCTCTCAGTAATTCTACACTGAAACAGCCTATCACATACTTTCTTTAATTCAAAAGCATTGCAATTTATAATAATTCCAAATTAACATCCGTTTAACTACACTCTCATTGGCCTTATCGGGGAAAACCTGCGAACAATGCTCGCTCTTCCACGCCGCTCACGGCCCACCTCAGTTGAGCTATAATTTTCGAGGGGGAAGAACGACGTGTCTGTGCCTTTCTCTTGCTCACTCATTATTTTCATCATGAGTGTGTATGAGTCATGAATATGCTTTGCCATGAATTGTTTCGTGTGATTAAAAGCCTGTTTAACCGGTGCCTGATAAAGTTCCAAATACTACCGACAGAAAAAGTGCGTAATATTTATTTTGCGTTTCACCAATGTCTTTCTTGTTAAAATATCAGGCAGCGGCAGCTCCGCACTTTCGTGTCAAAAGCGCTATGTGAGCGCGAATTCGATTGTGTTTTGGTAATGAAAGTGTCATTTTCCCCCTTCTGTTGTTCTTATTTTGTTTTGCAGTTTACTTCAGCGTGAGCTGTGTGTGAGTTCGGTGTAAAAGTTTGTTTTATTGCGTCGTACTTTGTGCTTATAGTTCTTGTTTTCATTTAAGACAAGACCTTTTTTTAACAATCTCTCTTAGAAAAATGATGTTGATATGTTCAATGCACGGAAGTAATTTTGTTTCTTCAACATTTATCAATAATAGGTATTTGCAACAAAACCTCTTAGGAACTTTTTTGTAGAAAAGTTTGTCTTCTTTACTTTTGCATTGAGCATAAGTATCGGCAGGATTGAAAGTTATGAATACGTACCTCCACGCACACTCACACACTTCGGAATTTTTAGTATAATGTGCAGCGGACCTCGTAAAATAAGGCATCAATTCAATTCAGCAGATATCAACAATCATGCCAAGTTTCAAAACTCCGAGATACTTTTCACTCAATTTGTCTAATTTGACAGGACTATATGTGCCATTTTTGCACCCTCCCACGGAAAACTCAATTAATTCGATTTGCCTCATCTAATAATAATTGGGTTTCATACGCTGTGGTCAGTTGCGCCGGCCGAAGGTTACTCACCCCACCTATTTATCTTGCCGTCATTGCTGCATCCAGCCTCTTTAACTTACGTTTACTGTAAGCACTTTCATGGATGCAAGTGTCTCAAGACATCAATACTGCAAGGGTCTCAAGAAACCTTGATTTAAACTAGTTATCTAGCTACCTATGTATCGTAATTTACTAAGGACTCAAAGCATTTCAAGTTATGTATTACGTGACTTGTATATGTTTTAAAAGTATTATTAAACTGTCTCTATATGTCTCCATATTTATCTCTTCTCTTCTTTACCACATCAATGTAGTTGCAGCCAAACTCATAATTTCATTATTGATGAGGCTTCTTCCACTAGGTCTCTTACTCTACAGGTGATTTGGGAGCTTTAAAATCGGTACCAAACTGTAACCGGTTAGCCCTTAATAAAAGGTGGTTTTTCCAGGGGATATGAAGGTCACCATCGCATTTTCCTCAATCAGAATGATCATTTTCTAAGACAGACTGGGGAAGAAACGCCGCTTTCCCGCACAGTAGTTTCTTGACGATTCCTCTTCTTTTGTAACGTCCAGAAGATTGTGCTTATAAAGAGTCGAAGAATCGAAGATAATTCTAAGTACAGTGAAAAAAATTGTTTTTTCGTATTCAAATGAAGAAAACCGGAAAATTGATAATTAACGGGAGTGGGATACAAATTGCGACAGGTTTGATTCGAGCGCGGTCCTATGGTCGTAACCGATTTTAAGCCGTCTTAATTCTAAATTACTCGTCGTTTGCAAATTATGCTAAATACCTTCTGGGTCTTTAAAAGCGCTCCGAGTCTTGGAAATGGGTATAACATGCCGGAGATAAACAGGCTGCGATGAAATTGAAAAAATTCAAAAAGCAAATCTACTGGAATCTATGTATCCAACGCGAAATGATGAAGGATCTATTCATTGTTAATATTATAAGGCAGTTGCTGGTAGTTTTTTACCAGTTGAAATGACTCACCTGAGCATTATTATCCTTTGGTAAAAAGCGACAAAAGATAATAGACATGTGTATTGTTCATTGTAAAGCCGAAATAAATTATCATCAAAGTAAGTGAATTGCTTCTGTCAGATTTTACAGCACAGTTGTTATTACAACCTTACAATATAGTTAGAATTTAATTGGGAAATATTAAAGAGTAGTGAATTCATTTTCAATAAATTAAAACTTTTTTCACAACAATAAATATATTTGTAAGGTGCTGTGGTAAAAAATGATTTTGACGAAAACGCAATTAAAATTTGTAGCGGGAGCTTTTAATACCAATTGATATGCTAACATACATGTTTCTGTTATAATGAACTCTGTGACAAAATACATATTAAATTATTCTTTTACATATATTTTACACAGAATCAAAAGCGTATTGGCAAAGCTCCTTTGTTCTAGAATAAAGAAAATGGAAGGGACAGATGCGTCAAGATCTCCGGAAACGGGTTTATGGCCCTTACCAGGACCTTCAGTTTCCAATATTGGTTAATTTTCAAGAAAGTGAAAGACGTTATCAAAACAAAGTTTGATGTAAAAAGTTAGTTATTCTGCTTGAAAATCTGGACTTGTCAAGTAGTCACTAATGCTATGGTGCGTAATTGTATACCTATATTCTTACTTGAAATAATACAAATATTTGCTTTAATTAAGCATAATTAATCATGTCATTACTAAATAAAGGTTATCACCGCTGTCCCTTTTAATCATAGAAGAGGTGGTGGCAAATAAAACGGTAGGTGTTCAAATTCAAATTAATGCGAATGTAGAAGTCCCCATCATTCTTCCTGCGATTTCGATTTGCCTGAATCGCTATCAGCAGTGCTTTCTAACAACTTCTCCTTGATGAACGCCATGGTGTTCCTCATGGCCTTGTAGAGAAGGGACCTCGCGAGCGCGATGTCCTTCTTGTCGCCCCTCCTGGCTCTGAGGATGGTGAAGACGCACGCCGTGTGGTACTCGAAGCTGCCGGGCTCCAGCGGCATCACCGTGAGGTGGTGCTCCACCTCCTGCAGGATCTTGAGCAGCCCCTCCGAGGCGTCGGCGGCCGCGCTCTTGGCCGCGTCCAGGCGCTCCCGCAGCTCGTCGATCATGATGGACGTGTCGTCGGCCTCGGGCAGGCGCAGCGCCGCCGTCAGCAGCTGCTCCTCGTTCTCCCACGCGCTCTGATTGTCCTGCAGGTCCACTTCGGGGAACACCGCGTGGATGGCTCGCTTGATGGCCGCGTACACCGCCTCTTTGAACGGCTTGAAGTACTTGACGGGCGGGCGCGAGTCCTTGATTTTGGCGAAGCACGGCCGCACCAGGAACAGGTTGCCCGAGTCGAGGGGCTTCCCGGATAAATCTTTGGTAAATGTGGCTAGTAAGTCCTTGGTGTGGCCTTCGGCGGCCGCTTCTATAGGTTCCAGTTCTTCGATTATTTTAGCCACGAGCTCCTTGTACTGCTTCTTGAAAGGGACCTGCCCCAGCATCTGAAGGATGGGCCACTCTTTGTCCATGACGATTGCGTCGTCCAAATCCACGTAGGGGAAGACGTTCTCGATGCACTTTTTCACGGCGTCGTAAAATATGTTTTTGGCCGTTAGACTCGCCAAGCGGGATATGTCCTGGAAGCGCAAGTTCATGTACATGTCGTCGAAGATGTAGAGCGCGTGATCGATGTCCGTGGGCTCGACGAAGAGCTCGACCACCACGTCGTGAATCGCCTTCTGCACCTCGGGGCTGTCCTCGATCGTCTCGTAGCGCGATTCCATTTCATTTCGGATCTCGTCGTACAGCACGAACACGTCGTCGTCGTACGGTATCTTCTGCAGCATGAGCAGCGTGGGCCGCTCCTTGTCCATGGAGCAGTTGGCCTCGCGGATGTCTGTGCGCGGGAAGACGAGCCCCATGCACTTGCGCACGGCGTCGTTGAGATATATGCGCGCGTACACGTTGTCCTCTTTGGAGACGCTCAGCTGCTTAAGCTCAGACAGCGCCTGCTGGAGGCGCTCGCGCAGCTCGGGCGCGTCCTCGTCCTCCAGCTGCGAGAGCGCGCTCAGCACCAGCAGCAGCGCCTTTTTGTGGCCCTTGGTCACCTTCTCCAACGCCATCGTCGCCTTTACCTCTTCCTGGATTTTGGCGTTCAGCTGGGCGGCGTACTCCGTGTCAGGCATCTACAACACCAATAATAATAAATAAATAATAAAAAGAACCTGATCCGGGTAGCCAAGAACGCTGAGGCAGTAGTGCCCTGGCGGTCTCCGACCGACCGATTGCGGGTTCGAGAGCCGCCTCAGGCATGGTTGTGTTTGTGTGTGTGTCTCTACACGTTTTTCTCTGCCCATTTCATCCTTCATCATCTTTATCATTTTACCTCATGCCCCAGGGATAACATCTTTTGATCTCTGAATGGATTCGGCATGAAAATGCTCATGATAAAAAGTCTCATGCAGCTAAACTCGATAAATATGACTGCCCTGGCGGTTTGTACGGTCGCCCTGGCGGTTCACGCGGTCCCGAGATGGCCAATTTGCGACAAATACTAAAAATACTAATTCCATTCCACGTTCATGTCAATTAGATATCCTAAACCTATACAAAATACATAAAATATAAGACCTTTCTTCGCCACATGATGGAGAACTGGAGCACAGTTTTGCACCTGTCAACTAAACATTAGTCTGTAATCTCCAGACCCATGTACATTAGAAGAGGTATCTTTCAAGGCGTATCCATTAATTGCCAGTGGTATCCATCAAGAGGTATCCATTAAGTGCACTATGGTTCTGCTTGGCTTTGAACCCCCTCTGTAGCACATCATACGGATACAAACTAACCACACGATCAAACGAATATTACATTATCGATTATTGTGCATGGATTTTGGATGCAATATATACAAAATTAAAAGAACAGCTCCACAAGATATTTGTCATTACCTTCAAATTTAGCTGCGAAAAACGTACGGAATTTGTTTATGATAAATGCAAATCTGTCCGTTTTGTAAAAGGAAAAATTGTCTCTTCCGAAGAATATTGTAACCTGATGAGATCATTGAAGATCCCAACCAGTACAAATATACAGGAATTCTCAGCTAAAAGGAATTGATCACATAAAAGTAAATAAAAGAATTGAAACATAACTTTTTCAAGAAAATCAAAAGTATACCAAGAACTCAACTCTGTAATAGAAACAAGGTAAAAACAATAAATACTTTTGTAATTGCATTACTTACTATTTTCATCTCATTTACAGGTCACCTACAGGTTTGGAAAACTTGTCAAGAATTATCAGAACGATATTAACAAAATACCGTAAGAGATACCCCAAAGCGGTAATAATGGGTGCCACTCTTCCTACATTCCTTAAAGGAACGGACATAATAGACGTACCATTTTAGCGTCTACATAAAATCGTCTCATTTGCGTAGCACTTGCATCCATCCGTGCATAAGGCGTTTGCTAAAATCAGTGGAAAAAGTCACAGATATAACTCCGTGGTATGGAATTTGTCACTACACGTGAATTGGCCAAATACAATCATTTCCGACCCCTATATAAGCCCTAAAAGTTGGCATCGTTTATTCTGAGACAAGCCGTAGAGGGGAAATAACGAAAGGCGATGAAGTAGTTTGATTAATTACAAGTTATTCCCGGTACGCCAAGTACTAAGGCCATTGACCCCCTACGCGTAGTTATGTTTTGATCCCTGGAGGTTGCAGTGATCTTCCCCCGTTGGATCTAGCGCCGACCTGCAAAGGCTTCCGAGGATTTTTCCCCCACGAGGTATCTCCCGCCCGGTCCCGCGGCATGTGCGGTGGTGTTGTGCATGCTAGTGAGAGTAGTAAGGAAGGGCGATGCCTTGGCGAGCATGGCGAGCGTCGTCTCGTCGGGGTTGAAGTGGCACTCCTCGTCCTCCAGCGCCACGCCGGGCACCACGGCGCGGATGGCGGCCTTGAGGCAGAACTTGAGCACGCAGAGCACGCGCAGCGCCGCCTCCTTGGTGGGCGCCTTCGAGTGGATCAGCTTGAACACGTAGCTCATGTTCTTCTTCTTGCGCGCCGACTCGCGCGGCAGGCTGCGCAGCTTCGCCACGATCTGGCTGAGCATCTCGGCCACCTCCGGCGGGTCGCTCGTCTTCGTCTCCCACGCCTCCAGCACGGTGCACAGCTCCTCGAACAGCGGCACGCACTCCTTCTGCTCCACGAACTTGAGGAAGCCTAAGATGTAAGTCTCCGCGTTCTTCACTTCCTCGTCGTCGCACATGATCAGCTCGGGGTAGTGCACGCTTATCGAGTAGCGGCAGGCGTCTTCCAGGAGCTTCAGCACGCACACGGCGTCCGACTTGAAGAGCTTCTTGCCCTTGATGGCGTCCACGAGGTCGGCGAACGTGTTCTTGGCGTCGCTGCTCTTGTTCTCCACCTGCTCCAGCCGCATGATGACCTCGGGCAGCTCGGCTTGCACGCCCTCCGAGAACAGCTCCGTCTTGTTCTTCTCGGTGAGCTCCTCGATCACGTCCTCGAAGAGCTGCGTCGTGTCCTTGTCGGAGGGCACCTTGTCCAGCACCGCCATGATGACGGCCGCGGGCTCCAGCAGCTGCACCACGTCCTGCACGTCCAGGTCCGGGAAGGCGAAGGCGAGGGCGCGGTGCACCACGTCGAACACCACGCACTGCGCCTGCAAGCCACACGCATTCCTTTATCCACTTACATATTCTCTACTCCACGCATTCATTTATTTGTTTGTTCATTCATTCATTAAACTATTCATTTATCTTCAAAAAGTGAACACTATAAGTGACGGGAATGGGATAGTATACTGGATACCCGTTTTCATCATTTCAGAAATTCAACAATCACTATTTTACTACACCTACTCAAATTTTCAATAAAGGTACTTAGAGCCTTTATTCATAATTTGCATCGGCAAAAGAGCTACCAACGAGTATTTGACATCTCCTATCTCCCTCTCTCCCATCTGTTTCCCTCTCTTATCTCTCTTTCCCTCTCCTCTCTTCCATTCCTATCTTTCCCTCTCCTCTCTCACATCTCACACTCTCCCCCCACTTCTCCTTCTATCTCTTTCCTTTTTCCCCTTCCCTCTCCTCTCACCTCTCTCCTCATTACCCACTTTTCCCTTTCTCTCTCTCTCTCTCTCTCTCTCTCTCTCTCTCTCTCTCTCTCTCTCTCTCTCTCTCTCTCGCGAGCAAGCGCGATTTCATTGTAGTTGCGGTGTTACGGGATTCATGTGCGGGTTGATACAATGTGAGTCTAAATTTCTGAGTCTGTACTTTGGATTAGCGGATTAAACGTTGTCAAGTGTATGTGTTTGCGCTTTCGTTTCTTGGACGATTCACTTCCTTGATGAATTGATGCTTTAGGGTTGTGTCACTAGCTATGATATTTAGATCCGTAAGTGTAGTACATGTAATATCCTAGGAGGTGGCAGTGTGCCTCACATACCCACAATTTTTCACTATACGTTTTACTAAACTTCTTTCTGCTGGACGTTAGAGTATCACGTAACAACGAGGATATTGGTTTTCTAGAGACGAGCAACAACTACAGCATTTCTAGTCACGTAATCTACCCTTGTTGCCAACACCTTGAAATTAATAAATGAAAAGGTTCGTATCAACTGAACCCATTTATGATACCAAAAATCCCCTCATTAAAAGTATCCAGTCAGTGTAGTGATCACAGTGAAAACAATCAAAAGCGTGGGACTGAAATCTGGAAAAGCGCACAGCGCTCGTGGCAGGGCAGTGAAGCGCGGCCACGTCTCTTCTGCCAGGCACGGAGTAGACTGGAAGCCTTGGTGCTCAGAGTGAAAAGTGGCGGAGTATACTTCTATTTGAACCGAATGTGTGGGACGCATTCCTGGAAGTAGGATGCGACATCGATGTCGATGTTTTTGTAGAATCCGCAAATTTGTAAACATCTATGTATTAATTCCGATGTTTTTTAACATTGATGTTTTTTGATAATGAAAATGTGCAATTACGAAGCACCTGATTGTAACTGTTCATGTGATGAAACCCAAGGAACGCTGCGACTACTACCTTCATCGAGCAAACTCCCTCGCCCGAAATGACCTCTATGCCCTTGTGTTTCCTCTTTCTTCATATTCATTTCGCCCATTAAGATATGGTCACCAAATGCGCTGCGAGAGTACCTCTTCTCAAATCCTTACTTGGTGAATTGATCAACATGTACACTGTCAAATTAAATTTGTTGCACACGCCTTAAATGCTAACTGTTGCTAGAGCAGCTGGCAAGCGTTGATGCTGAGAAACAAGGAGGCTCACCTGGAAGAGGGACTTGGCGTCGGGGCCGGCGCGCGCGAGCGCCTGCAGCAGCGCGTCGAAGTGGCGCCGCAGGGCGGGCGCGTCGGGCAGCGAGGGCGCGTGCGCATCCGCGTCCGCCGCCGCCGCCACCGCCTCCACCAGGCGCCGCGTCGCCTCGCCGTCCACGCCCGCCTCGCGCGTCTCCAGCAGGATCTTCACCTGCCACGCACGCGCGCAACGAGCTGCACTCAGGGCGCGAGGGCGGCGGGAGCCCTCGCTCTAGGGGGCTATTTCCCACGCTACCTACGTCCAACTCAGCCCCGTCTACACGAGAATTATTCTAGCGGACGGTACTTTTCCCTGGTTTATCCGACCACTACCAGGCGAATGTCGGAGCAGTACCCTAACCTCGTGCGCGTTTTTTCCTTCCTCTTCCTTGCCCTATCCTCACTCCGTACTTACCTACACACTTAAATGCACAACACTGCTATTTGCAAGCAGCCAGTTGCTAGAATTCCCAAACCATCGTCGAGGCTCGAAGCTCACATCCTCCCGGCCTGATTGGCTGGAGAGTCAGCGACAATGCTGATTCCGATCTAAACTCGGACGCATGACAGAGATATAGACAAGTAGACATAGGGAAAGGGGAGAGAGTGAACAGAAAGCGAGGGTGTTGCTGATGCCCATGTAGGGGTATAGTGAAGGGACAGAAGAAGAGAGGGATAATCAGAAAAAGATAGAGAATGAGGCACAAGAAGATGTAGAGAGACGTGATATAGAAATGATATTGAAGGTAAGAGGCGATCATTACACTTCGCTCTGCATTGTGGATTGTAAGTTGTAATTATTTGTGACTAAGTGGTATGATTGCAATTATGTAAAGATCTCAAAGTGTGTATTGTGCGTATTACTATTAACATGATTATTCTTAAAGAGTGCGAGAGAGTACCTCGTCGAGCAGCTCGACAGCGGCGCTGGCGGGCGCGTCGGGCGGGAGCCGCGCCAGCAGCAGCGCCACGGCCTGGTCGGGCGGCAGCATGCCCATCTCGCTCACCGGGAACGACGTCTCCGCCACCACGCCGATGGCGCGCTGTCGAGCACAGCACGCAACAGCATTAAGCAAGCAGCAGGACGCGCCAGTGCGTCACAATATTAGAGGGAATTATACATGCATTTCTTTCAAATCTTACATCTTGTTCGCCTTCATCGCGTTATTTTTGGTTGGTTGCTACGGAAAATTGTCATTTTGTTCAAAATGTTTCTCAACACTTCATGCATTCTGGCGGCCAGCGTCTGGTCTGGCTTTTCAAACAAAGTACCCATGCTGTCATCACGTGGTTTGGGACGCAAACTGGTGCTGCGGAGATCGGCGTAGCGGACTTTAGCTCCCACAAAACGTCCATTGCTTCGGTTCCATCGGCCTAATACCGTTTATAATTTCGAAGGCGCCTCGGCACAGTGACAGTAGGAAGCGTCCCTGAGAAACTCGGGGCCTCTTCACACAGCCACTGCCAGCGCCACTGAACGTGGGGAAAGAAGGGTTTATGAGCCCCCGCTGTAGGCGTCGGCGACCACATGGCAGTCGATATCAAAACAACTGAGCTCAGGAGCGCTTCCGAGAGGCCCAGTGCAAAGGGTGCCAGAATACGTCTGCGCTGCTTGTTGTGGGAGTGCGTCACTACTCGACACAGCAGCGCCAATGTTCCGCTCAAGTGATAGCTCCATTGGTAACAATATTAAGCAGAAGAATGTCTCAGAAGCGCTGCTGAATTGCTCCGTGACAATGCCTAAATTTAAAGCAACGCGTCGCCAGCAGAAGCGAGTGACTATCTTTATTGGGGAGAGAGACCTTGAGGGCGTCGTGGAAGACGCGGCGCGCCGCCGCCAGGTCGCGCTCGTCGCCCGCGCTCTCGCGGCAGCGCCTGAAGACGGCGCGGAAGACGTTGGGCGCGCGCTCGTGGGTCTGCAGGGAGCGCAGGTCGTGCAGCGCGTCCTCCAGCACCTCGGCCACGTGCAGCCGCCCCTGCTCCGCCTCCGCTCGAGCCTGCTCCTGCGAGCACACGCGCGCAACCACTCAACTCAACTCAACTCCGCCCCCGTTCACACGCCCCTAGGGCATGCTTCTCATCGCGGGAGCTGGCGGTCATCTTCCACCGCCTTTGCTAAAGAGTGTAATTTACAACTGCGACAAGCTCTAAGCTCCTTCTTCTCTCCCAACGTGTATCGTAGTATCGTGTTTGTAAGTATGTGTGTGTGTGTAATTAATTGGTGAGGATACGAAATGGAAGGGAAAGAAAAGATCTCTCGAGGGCTGTGACCTGTTTGTTAGCGCCATTGGCGTTCACCTAGCGTTGAATGGAGAAGCGACGGAAAACTACCGATCAGAGCAGCCGGCCGCTGAAATTCTGCTCCTGCCACCGTCTGGGCTCGAACCATAAGTCAGAGACCCTGTAGCGACATAAATTGATGCCCTGAGCCACCTAAGCCGGTTCAGTGATTCGTCTGTTGCGGTCTCTAGTCCTTACGGGACCAGGCCGCACCACGGAAGCCAGTGATCGAGAACGGCAACAGGGACACGCGCTCCGTGCGCTTCGTCAATGCGAAGGGCGTAGCGCGTTGGATCTGTAGCGGCAGATGCAGAAGCCAATGCACTTCTAACTACATTGCTGTGTTCACTCTTTCATTGGATTGTTGAGAGTGGAAAAAACGCAAAAACGAATACGAACTGACAACGGAAAATACAAGCAACTAAAATTTTATAAAACCCAAACAAATCGAATGTATTGAAAGGAAAAGAAAAAAAGTAATTTTGGGGGAAATTTTAAATATAAGTACTAATATGGATAGAAAAATAATTAAAATATAATTACTAAAAATAAATAAAACAAATCATCAATGACAAACAAAACGCGTCTCAAACCGTAACCACGCTTTAACCTTAAAATCGCCCTACACTCTCTACTTCGCTCCAGACTAGAGGCACGCGCTCGATCCGCGAAGTAGGCCGCCATTTGTCGCACTGTCATCGGGAGTTCCACTTAAGGTTTGACGTATATTGAAGGACCTGAAAAAATTTGTTACCTTAACATCAGTCAATGGCACACCGTTCATTCTCAGTGAAGTACAGAGCTGTTTATTTGAAATGGAGAACTGCATTGAAACAGTTTTCTTTTCATTAATTATTAATTTGTTATTACGGAACCAATTTGAAATATCTAATATTGTAGTATTTACGGTTTCTTTATTGCAAAGAATATTCGTATCATCCGCAAAGAGAACTGTTCTTCCGTTTCTAATCGTCGAGGGAATATCGTTTACGTATAGTAGGAAGAGAATAAGACCTAAAATTGATCCCTGCGGGACATATGCAATTGGAAAAGAATCAGAAAGGTGTGTACGTAATGCTCCATTACTCCAGTATTTCTAGTCTCTGAGATCGTTGTTTAAGGTCCGAACATAACCAATCTAGAGCAAAACCACGAATTCCATGCGAAGGTAATTTTGAAAGTAAAATGTTATGATCAATGAAGTCAAAACCTTTTGAAACATCTAAAAATATTCCAATAGATGCTTCGCTTTGATTCATGAATGAGGCGACATCTTTAAGAAAAGAAAATATGGCTGTTCTGGTATATTTTGATTTTTGAAACCCATGTTGGCAATCTAAAACGCGTCGTGTTTACTAAGAAATGTTTCCATTCGTATGTAAAAAAGTCTCTCTAATATTTTTGAAAAAAGAGAAATTGGCCATTAGTTTTAAATGTAATTTTTGATTTCTTTTTTGAAAAGCAGCTTAATCTTAGCTGTTTTCAAAATATTTGAAAAAATCCTTTGCCTAAGGATACATTAAATATGTTAGGTAATTTCAGATTCGTATTAAGCGGCCGAAAACCTACACCACAATATGTTTTAGGAAACTCTGTAATCACTTGGCTAATAATAATGCCAAAAAGTTCGTGTTTTTGTAACATCACTAGTTTATTTAGCGTATGCATGCTCATGAAAATACATTTTGAATGCATTTACAATACATTTTCCTGGGTTTTTTATTCTCTGGAACTAAGAGTTGTTCGAAAACGCATCATAAAGTACTCTCTAAATTTGTAAATTTCATTACTTAGGGTTGAACTACTGCCAGCCGTATAAATCATGCCCTTAGATTCACGTTATGGGGGAAGCATTTACACGCCCTGCGCTACATGCCAGGAGACCAGTTGGGAGTTCAGAGATTGTCCCGGGTGAGGCTGCGCCGCGATGGATGCCGCACTTTCATTGGCCCTCGTGCATATTTGCATTTATTTAGATTGCGAGGAAGAGTATTAATTTCTTACTTTTAGAAATGAAACCAACATGCATAAATTTAACTGGTACAGTATTCACAGAATATAATACTGAAAAACAAGAATAATTTCACCCAAGCCTACCTTGATACATTTGAAGTAAGCTATAAATTTTTAATACCATAATCAGCTATTAAAACTTCTTAAGCATAGAAATGTGTTTGGGGGTTCTAAATTAAATTTATTACCTTCCTTCAAGACTATTTCTTAAGATTATTATCTACATACTAGCGTCATGGCCATCAACAATGGGATGAATGTCAAGAATTTTGAGACCTTATATCTATTTTGTGAACTAGTAACGCCTGAAATAAAGCACGCAAAATTCGAATTTACATTTTTTTCAATTTTCGAAAACGCAGAGTGCATCCTAAATAAGACCATTACTACTATCCCTGCAGTTCTTTTCTACATGCGAGAAATAATTAAAGACAAAAACCGTTTCTGAGCAAATTGTTTAATATTGTTTTAAAAACGTCTATGTTTCACGCAAAATTACGCAACAAATATTTCGAATATTTTAGAAATATTTTCCAAAAGTTTAAAAATTATCATTTTTACAGTCGTCTCTGATGAACACCTTTCTTCTAGAAAAAAAAAATTAGTTGTAGGAAGGCCCCCAAAAAATTGAACTTTTGCAATTTTCGAAAAATTAGGTATTTCAACGAAAATGAGACCTGCATCTTTCTCTTAAACGTCCTTCACACTACCCAACAACAAAATTTAGTCAAGCATTGGAGCCATTTTGTGGTGGATGGTGGTCCTCATCCCACCCCTCTCTCCAGCGCCCGGCCCGCTTGCCTCGTACCTCATACGCTGGCTGCCCTAAGGCAACGCCATCTTCAATTTACAGCTATATCGTGACGTCATCACAAGTGTTCAAGCGCCCCGGCAGCGCCAAGAAGCTTTTGCCAACAAATATATTAAAAAATGGAAATTTAATTAAACACTCCTCGTTTAGTGTATTATCAACGAACCCTACATTTTAATACACACGTAAATGACACAATCATATCGAATGCATTAATCAACATTCAATCATGTAAGTACATTTTCTAAAAAAATCTGCTTCTTTTGACAGTTCGGTGTGAAATTGCGTATACTTTGCATCTTTACTCTTCATGGTAAGGGTTGGAATTAATAATGCTGTCCACTCAAGATTTGATAAATAAACTATTTACCCAATAAACGTTATATTTAGGAAGAGGATTTTAAGCCCTAAAAATCTTGAAATATGTAATTAAAATTAACAATATTTCATTTCCTGTATAAACCTTTCTTGATAAACGTCAGGAGAAACATTTTTGGAATGAAAAAATATATTTTCTGCAAAAATAACATAATCTACCTTACTTTTCAGAAGAAATAATTTAAGTAATTATTCACCTTAGTATGTCTTGTTGCATTTCTGCATCTATGTTATTCTTGGAATGTTTGATCATATTCATAAAATGTTTCAATTACATGTCTGTATTAACCACTCACTTGGTGTTAGACAGGGATAAGCCAATGTTCTCTCTCTCTCATTTCAGATGGAAAATGTTGCTTGCAAACTTTAAAAAGTTATTTAAATATAATCGATTTTTAGAATCTCATTTAAAGGAAGAAATACTTCTGTACTCCTTTCTCTTAACATGTCCTTCTTCCCTACAAATCGCTCTGAGCCATTCTCCTACTCAGGGGAAAGAAAAACTAAATGTTGAGCCAATCGAATAAGTTGCCCTTACAGTTAGAGACACAACATTTTTGCATTGGACTCTGAAAACAAGATAATACTGTTTTAATATTTAAATAGAAAATGAACCTGAAAATAATTACAGCGATGTACTTATCTATGAAATAAAGCTTATGAAAAATTCGTTTTGCAAGGAACCGAGTTAGGTTAGGTTTCTGCAACTATAAATGTTATAGTACAAACAATTGTAATTTAAACATTAATTCACACACTAGCATCATTTAGTCATATTATTTTATGAAAAAGTAATGTATGTACTCGTCAGTTATTGCACTTAATTCTCGATAATATGCTGTACGTAATTCAAAGTTCTAAAAAAGAACAGGAATCTAAATTAACTTAGGACTTCCACAGAAATGGGTATCATTCAAGCCCTCAGAGATATGAGGAGAAATTCTCGAAGCAGTCAGTAGACATAGAGCAAAAACATTAGCAAAGACTCGCACTAAATCGCAAAAACTCACAACCCACTACACTGAATACATACTTCTGGGACCACAACTTGTACACTCGTAATGACGTCATCACACCAGCCGGCATGGTGCACAGGCTACTCCTTTCTGGAGGGTGTTGCCTAAGGCGACGGGAGGCCTGGCTGTGTTGGCAGAAGCCCTACCTCCAAGTAGTAAATGACGTCCTCGATGAGCACCCGCGCCTCCGTCTCCTCATCCAGCGTCTCCAGCACCTGCAAACACACGCACGCGCACACGCACTCACAATCTGTAGCATATAATAGGATGGTTGACATTGCAAACACGGAAATTTGTTAAAGAATACTTTTCTGAAGCAGTGATCATATTCAATGTATCTACGTTACATTTGTTCAGAGACACCTGTAAGAAATATTTATTAATGAAACGAATCGTTATATCAAACGTATTTCTTTCAATATGTTTTTTTACCCACGTTGTGTAATTATAAGATGGATGCAGAACCTCTTTTTAATTGCTGTTTGTTGGCCAATCACAGAGATATTTACAGTAGAGAATTAATCAAGCGTTGGCTACTGTTTTTTAAACGTTTCGTTGATTTGTTTATATTATTGTGCGAAACCAACCCGTGACGGTACACCGCACGTACCCTCGGCGGTTTCTCAAACTCAGACGACACCCAGGACATCCGAAGCCCTCTATGAGGTCTCCAGCAGCTATTATCAGAGAACGAATAATGTCATATGAACTTTGATGACGTTTCTTTAATAAAATGAATTCAAATTAAACTCGTGTACTCAATGTTTGTAGTAATTCTGTGCTGGAACTCTCAGGTAGTTGTTGAATCTTACTCGCCTGCTGCCACGTGGCCGTTCATTGTAAAAGGTAAATTTATAAGTGATATTATATGGTGTAGACAAAATAATGAATGGAACTCGATGTAATGGACATTAATACACTCGGATAATGTTAACGATACTTGCTCGTTCCCCGTTTGTAATGTATTATCACTTCATTCTCGTGCCTCTTCATTACATCATAATACTTTTATTACATATGACAGCCAATTTTATTTCAAATTAAAATATCTCAATTAACACGAATAAAAATCTCAATGAATGCGTGAGAACGTACACCTGCCGAAAATCTGTGTATGATTGATTGGTGTTTCCCGCGTGTCAGCTGCTAAAGTTATTATTCCCAAGTGTAGTGGTGATTTAATCGCGGGAAGTGGCGGTGAGATGCGGCGCCGACCTACACATCACTGGCGGGGACTTCTCTAACCAGGTATCTCCCACAAGCGGGGCTTTGCCAAGCGTCCCAGCCTTTCCAAGCTCTAAACTCCTAAAATGTTTGGTCAGCCCAAATATGTGTGAGAGTGTTTGTTAGAATGGCACTGCGTTGCGCACCTGCAGGATGGCGTCCTCGGTGGCGAGGAAGAACTGCTTGCCGTAGACGTAGCCGATGCACTTGCGCAGGACGTCGTAGGTGATGAGGCGCGCGCTGACGGCCGCCTCCACGCCGGTCTCCTTGGCC